GGGGATGATTCCTAGCTCTACTGACAACCTCCTGCTAAAGTAAGAAAATTCTATTTTTTTGACTTTGAAAACAATTTATCAATTTTCAATTACAAACAAACCTGATGACAATGTGTGAAACTTGAAATAGTCCACAGCAAGTTGAAATTTGATGTATTTATTTTTCTTCCTTTCAGATCAAATTACAATAAAATAAACATAAAAAACACATCCTTCAATCTACAAGTATTTTACAGTGTTAGAAAGAAGATAAAATGCAGAAATTAAAGATATAATTGTAGTTTTTAATGCAATGCCAATAATTTCACAATTTTAGAATAAAAACTGGCATCTGTGAGATATACCACACACACTAACTTATATGTTTTTCAGGAGCCCTCTGGAGGGATAAAAGTGGGTTAAGTTTAAAGAATAGCAATGTTTACAATTTGGTGATGAACAATCTTCAGGCATGGACAGTTGAAAGTTGAACGCCACTGGTCAGTAAAGAAAGAAGATGGGATAGAGTAAGCTTGTAGATTGACTACAACTGTAATGATTGATGTGAAAGACTAAGATGTTACCAGGCAGGGGAAGGGTATCCTAGAATTTATTACTAGAGTTGGACATCAGTGGATTGTCCACTGATCACTTCCTTCCTCTGCAGTTTTGGGCAGTCCAGAAAATTTGGTTAGGTTTGGTTGTCTAGGGACTAACAACCTGTAATACAGTGATGGACAGCATGCCAATCATTTAATAGAAGAAACTTTTAACATATACGCGTTAAATTAAAAATAAATGTCACTAAATCGACAAGTGCTTTTGACGATAATTATTTTCATCTTCGTCAGGTCATTAAAACATTTAAAATCCTTTTTTGAATACAAATTGTTCCAAACATATTAACGTTTTGGAATGAAAGCAACGGTAGAATAAAAGAAAATTTTTAAATGAAAATTTCACCTTTAATAAGAAGGACCTTTCTTTTATCTTCCAGCCAAGTGACTATCAATACCGAACTTAATATTATTTGCCGTACGGTAAATGAGGCAAGCTACAGTAATGCCAAGTTTATCTACATCTTAAATAAGGTAAAAAGATCATTCTTTTCCACTACTACACTACATCTTCCAAAAGAATCCACAATAGTCCTGCCCATGATACCATTTTGTGGTCATGTCACCGTCCGTATTTGCCATATTTTTAGGCGACATGCCTTTTATCTGCTGGTTTCTCCATGGCCAAATCTTAGGAGGTTGTTGTCCGATGACAGAGATCCTATATTCACCCTTGAAGGATCAGGGGTTTATTCTGTCCCATTGGAAAATGTGTCGGGGGTGGTCGCACCCATTATGTTGACACAACAACCAGAATGTTGTCTTATCGTATTTTAGAGCATCAATATTCTATCAGGGAAGGCAAGAATGAAACTGAACTAGCTAGAATGGTGTTACAACACCAACATACCCCGTTGTAGGGCAAAGTGGTCATACTAAGACATTGCAATAACAGAAATATTGTGTATATTTGGGAAGACCTTCTTACCAACATATTAAAGCCCTGCAACACCCTTACACTTGATTTGCCCCCTTTGTGGATCAATTTGTATAACCATCTCAAACAATGTATGTGTTAAACGCCTCCACAATTTGGAGGCGTTTAACACATGCGCATTATAACCGCGCATGTTTTCATTAAAAAATTTTCTTATGTTCTACCATTGCTCTCATTCCAAAATGTTAATACGCTTGGAACGATTTGTTATTTGTATTCAAAAAAGGATTTTTAATTTTTTAACGACCTGATGAAGACAAAAATAATTATCGTCGAAAGTGCTTGTCGATTTAGCAACATTTATTTGTAATTTAATGCATAAATGTTAAAAGTTTCTTCTACTAACAACCTGTTCACTAATCTCTCCTTCTTTAATTATGTTTTTCTCTGATTCTAGTAAGTATAAATCAGCATGTAACTTTGAGTCCACATAAGGAACTATTAATACAAACTAACAACAGAAGCTAGCCATCTTAGTGCTCACTAAGTGGAAAGAGAACTAAAACTTATTCTGAAACACTTTTTATTTTATTTTTTTAAAGGTTAAGAATTGACATAGTTGGAGTTAAGCCTAATGATCCATGCATGCAATACAAGGCAAAGCAATCAGTTTTTGTTTGAATGAGCCAGTTTGAAATGCAAAACAGGAACAGACAACTCCCAAGAAAATGTATTAGAAAGGAAAAAACTTGAAATTGTTAAAGGAATAAAAAATATTTCATTTTATTAAGTGCTTTTTGTAATTTTACATCTGTGTAGTTGATCTGAATGTTAAAATCAGATGCGATATGAATTATGATATAATATGTAGCAAAATGAATAAATGCAACATCTTTCCAACTAAGCTTATTGCAATCAAGCAAGCAATTTATCAATAATGTATTTATAAAAACTTTTAAATGTTAGCAAATGTTTTTTTAATTTTATAATATTAATGTATTTTTGAACAGTTATCATTACTATTATAATATACAGTTTGTCATGATTATAAGTTTCTTGAGAATGTAGTAAAAAACAGAGATTTGATTAACTGTAAAATGAATGACCCTGTTAGAATTTCCATAGTTCTTCATCAGACAATGTTTTCATAATAAAGTATGAAGCAGTAGTAATGCATAATTATAAATTTTTAATTTTAGAATGTAAAGAAGTTAGATGCATTTAAGAAGTTAGTGTAAAGAAGATAGATGCATTTAAATTAGTGATGTAACAAATATTTGGTTAATATTCAGTATTCGGCCTATTTTTTGCTATTCGGCCGAATATCGAATATTTAATCACTATTCGGCCGAATGCCGAATACCTAAAAACAGGAATAAGAAATAACAAAAACACAGTAAATTAATCATTTTGGTATTTAGATTTAATGTTGTCGGGTTAGTGTTGTTTGTTTATATTTTTTTATAACTTACTAGCTTACCCGTCGCGCATTGCTGCGATCTCAGAAGAAAGGAAATTCAAGCAAACTCATTATGATAAAATTCAATTTACATTTTATCATTTTTATTGAAACTTATTATTATTATTCATTTTCATCGGGAAAACATTTCAAAGTGTCGTTTCAATTCTATTTATTTATTGGAGTGTTTGTGGATACACGATATTTTTTGTTTTTCCCTCTGGTGTGTACACGAATAAATCGGAAGGCTTTTCGATGCGTGAGCCGGCCACATACAATTGTCCATGCGAGAAACACGGATTCTCCAAATTTAGCCCACACACTCGCAGCGATTGTCAGAAGTGCGATATTCCCCATTTTTATATATATTTTTAAATCCTTTATAATTTTAATTATTTAATTGCTCCTTCCTCTCTTCCTTGGCATGTTGTGAAATTTCTGATAGTTGGATAATAAACCGTTTTATTGTAATTTGTCTTTTTAAATTATTTTGAGTCGATATTAAAATTTGGAAAAGGGGGATACCTAGATCGGTAAAATACGCGAATTTCTTCCTACAACTTCGGTTGTTGTTCGGGGTACAGTTAAGGTTTTAACGAAGTTCGAGCGAATACATAATTAGCAAAAAAAAGTTGAAATAAAGTGATTAAACAAAAATTATTACAAATATCGTAAATAACAGTTCACAAATGCATATATAGAGATATTTTTTGAAGGGGGGGAAATGGTCTTCACAATTTGAAATCGATCGAACACGCTGTGCTCGAATGCTCGTGTAAATGCGCGCCATCATTCATAGGATAAATGTACTATGCCAAAACCCTATGCGGGAGTGTATTAAAAAACTTTCCAAAGTTTTATGGCAATCGTACTATGCCACAAACCTTCGCCGGAGTATATTAAACAACTTCCCAAAGTTTCACGGCAATCGGATAAACGGTGTGGTAATGCACGAAGGACATAAGACAGACACACAGACAGACATACATTCATTTTTATATATATAGATAATATGCACAAAATAAAAATGAAAATAATAATAGTCACATATATTCACAATTTATAATTACAGTGATCAGCAGACATATACACCTATTCATTTGAGAATCGTCGCACATTTGAGATCTGACCCTGCCTAACCTTCTTTTTAAACGCTCTTCCCTTTCTCTTTCCTCTATCGCTCTAGTCCATGTATGCATACATCATAATACTTTTCCATCATAGATTTCCAATTTTACAATTACATGACTCACAGCCTGGTGATAATGGAGAAAAGAGACAGATAGGACGTAGGTATAAGTCACAGTTATGATTTCACAGATTTGAAACAGCTTGGTAGCCCGAACAGCCCCAGGCTTTTGCCCATGCATGCTAAGTGTCTTTCATTACAAACATTTAGCATTCTGAAGTCTATGACAACAATTGTTTGACATTGACGGCCGCGAATTTCGTGCCAATAAGCTGCTTCGACTTGTTCGATTATGTTATCAACTCAATTTCATATTTATTTTCACTTCGCGGTCCTTCTCTCTTCTTTTTCCATTATTTACATGTGTAGGTCATTTGATTGTTATCCACATTTGATATCATCACTTATCACATACTGCCATGATGCTCATGTATGTCCACTACAACTGTGAAGAATTAACGCGATTGGCGAAGCATAGTGACAGCGGGCCAATAGAGAGCTGGGTCCTTACCATAATGCGGTTTGCACGCCAATTTTCGTAAGTGCGTTAATCAATCCGAATAGTTTGGCCGAATATTCGGTATTCAGCCTCAGGCTGAATATACTATTCGTTTGAACACTAAATTAAATCCATGTTTAGAATTTTTTATGATTTGTTTAATGTTATTAAAATGTACAGTACATACCTACTATTATGAATTAAAAATTTTCTTTTAATCAATACATGATTAATTACATTTTTATATTAATTATAAGATTTGTTTTGCTATGTTTTATTATCTAATATAATTTTTTTTAATTTGTATTTGTTTAGATACAAGTATTTTGAATGCTATTCAATGTCATTAATATTTTATTTATTCTTTTCATGATTTTCAGTGTTCCTTGGGAGAACTATCTACAAATGGTACTGGATCCAATAAAAAGACTGCAAAACGAAATGCTGCTGAATCCATGTTACAGTTAATGGGTTACTCTCGACCTCAACCTGGCAAACCAGCAATTAAGTCATCAGGTCTAGATGTAAGAATAATATGTCAGAATTTAGATCTTTTAAAATTTGAATAAATTTAAAATAAAGCTTAACATTTGAATGCCTGGACTGAGTCAGACCCCAATAATGCTCTCTAGCAGTCAATTGACCTCTACCATTTTTTTTCATATTTTTCGCTATTTTTTCATCATAAAATGTTCATATTGTGTTTTTCCATTTATTTTGTTTCATTCTAGTTAGGTTTTTATGTTTTTTAAATAGGAATATATCTATACAATAAAAAAATTTTTAAGAAAAATGTTTTTATTTTTACATATTCTCCTGACATATTTTTCAGATCTTTTTTGTATTTAGGCATATGCCACCTACAAAGTTTTTTGCATGCAAAGCAAGTTACTTTTCTATTGTTTTTCTAGCAAAGTTCAATTTGGTAAGTATTTTCAGATGCAGCTTTAAATGTAGCTGCATCACTACCATCTGTCGGGAATGATGACATTACCAGACATTGAAGTTGCAGATTTCTGTACAACACAACTAACTCTTCAACAATTTTCATCATGAAAGACTGTCAAGGAATCTTGGATCCACTTATCAACTTGTACAATGTGTGTGAGTTGATCATATGCAGATCTAGAATGTTATAGAAGACATGCACCTTGTCATGGCTCTAACACTGTACTTATGAGACATTTGATCTATAGCATCTATACCACATTTTAAGTTATTATAGAAGTTGACTGCCACTGGTGTTTTTTCTTTGCTTTCTCATTAATGAGTTTAGTTCCTGAGGCCTAATTAATTTTTACTGGGAAAAATTATGTAATGTATTGATTTTTTATATTAAATAATTATTTCCACTTAAAAGTGAATCTGACAGCCAAAATAATTGCTGCAAAATAAATACCCCGAAAAAATGTGTTTTTACAGAAAAACTATATAAAAAATTTAAAATAATCTAAAAAAATGCTTTTATTTGATAAATATAGCTGCAGGGATTGTTATTCTTTCATTTGACAGTGCATGAAAATTCACACATGCAGTCTATGTTGTCTACAAACCGGTTGACCTTGAGAACAGCTGATGACTGCTTTCCTGGGATGTTTACATGTAGGCCTCAGGAAGATCAGTTTAAAGCAGGAGGGGAACTAGTTTACCATATACAGTATATTAAATATAACACAAAATTTTTATGCCATTAAAATATGGGGGGACTGAAAAAAAGATATATATAAAAATTTCTACTAAATAAAAAACAAAAAAATCTGCTGATATTATAAAAACATGTTTTTATAATCTATACTAATAGTGTTTTTTTAAATTTTATCGAAGTCAAATCAGTCTAATAGAAGTTTAGAACGATTTAATTAATTTAATAAAAAAAACTCTCATAAAAAACAATAGCACAATTAATTAGCTAATTAATGAAATGTTATAAAAAAATTTTGCGGCAAAAATAAATCGTAAAATTTGCATAGGTCATAGATAATGATGTATATAAACTAACCCATACGTTTTTCGATAAGTTATACCATTAAGGATCATTTTTTCATAACACTATGTAAACTGCCTGAGTTAACTTGGGCAAAGAACTTAAGCGGTTAATTGTTTCACTTGAATGCATACTGTTAAGATTAAGCATATTCTTTTTGTGTTTTTTTGATATGTTAGAGTAATGTCCTCCACCTTGTAAATAACACTGGAATGAAGGGGATCTTGTGACTTTTTTACAAAAGATGGGAGTTTTTTTCAAGCCTTATTCAAAATGTCAACAATGCTTGCATTTCTCTTTTTTAGTTTGGTTTTTCAGCTTGAGTAATATAAAGAAATTATCTGTTGTAACATTTCATCCCTTGTTTAGGAACAGTTCCATGAGATAAAAGGTAATGTAATTGCCTAAACTTTTACCTATATATATTGTTTCCTCTTTTCACTTTTATCTGCAGATCTTTTTTCATCAGTTCTTAGACTCAAAACTGCACTTTTCATCTGAGTCTTCACCTTTAGACTGAGTCAGAGATATATCTTGCAGAGCTTTCAGAATTTTATCTGCAGTAAGAGCAGGCAAATAATACATAGTGTTTCTTCACAATCTATAAAATAGCAAACAACACACAACTGAAACACATGCAACATTGAAAGGCCAGGAAACTTCTGTAAAAACTGCAAGTCTGGGTCTGGCAGCTGTCCCCCCGTCAGAACTAGTTATATAGCAAATGTGTTTTTCAGTTATCATACATACTTTACCCTTTTAGATTATAAGTGGTAAATTAGTAAATTTTTATCATTAAAAGTACACAAAAATATGTTGTATAACAGAAGATGGTCAATTACTGCTATCAGGCATCATTGGTAAAATCAGTATTATCTTTATCCTGGAAAACAATGATTTCTAGTCAGAAATAGCTTTCCCTAAAATTATTAAAAATCAAAATCTTAGAATGATATTATCAGAAACATTGAAAATGTGTCCATCTGAAAATCAAAAGTAGTCAATTGACCATCTCCAGACATTCTAGTGTTAAAATAAATAAATTGTATGGATGAAACTTTCATCAAAAGCCAGTTTTATTGGTTAAAATTAAAATTAGAAATTGCAACAGTGAATTTTTTATGTTATTTAAATTTTATACTTAGAAAATTGAAATTGCATATAAAAATCTAAATTTTTATATGCAATTTCAAGTCTTGAGAATGTCTTGCTTATTATATTAGTTATAAATATATTTTTTATTAAATTTTTAGCTATTTATCATATACATTTTTTCCCCATAAATGAGAATGTTACAGTTGTTTAATTAAAATGTATTTATAAAGTAAATTTAAATAAATATATTTAATTTTGTAATTATTCACATTTTAATAAATCAAATTTACTAGATACAAAATATTTATATAAATAGTTTAACACTAAAACCACTGGTTAGTGTTATATATGTAAACAATTAGTATTATGTTATATACTACCTAAAAGTGTCATTATCAGTGATTTTGACCTATTTTCATAAATATTCCATAAAAATAATGCAACATTTTTTCTTGAAAATAATATGGTTTACATTAACTGTAACTAAAATATAGTAACATAACTTAAAAAGTGTATACATTTAAAATAAAATTTCTTGTATGTGTGTGTATATTTTTCTGCCATTTTATATTTGTGATGTATTATTTGTGTGCATTGACTATCTTGGATCTGTTTTTAGTATTTGTTACAGTTTTATCCAAGGTTTATTTATTAAGCTTATATATGCTTATCTAAGGTCACTGTATGTAACATTACAGTAAGTACAGTAATTCTAGATTGCTGTTTAAATGCCAGCTGCAATGAATTGCACCTGGTTCAGTATGATCAAATAATTTTCTTGGGATTGGTGAAATTTTTTCACAGACTGGTGGTTGAAAAACTCTGCCTTAAGTAATTTTCAAAATTTAGTTTCTTTCAATTTTTAACGTTTTGAAAAATATTAGCTGGTGCTTTTCCTACAAAAAACTGTGAATTTCACTTTTTAAAAAGAACTTTAGCTGCTGCTGGTCAAACTAATCAGTTTGCAGTTTTAGGCATAATGCCAGCCAATGTTTCACATTATCAAAAAATAGAATAAAAATTAAATTTTTCTTAACATTTTTGGTACTGACATTTTGTAGGTGTCATGTTTCTGTGGATTGTCCTTTGTTGATTTTTTGTAAAATCATGCATATTTGAAATTGAATAATGTTATGGTTTTTGTTATTAATGTGTGTTAAAGATTTTTTCTTTCATTTAAGTAGGTATATAATAATTAAAGATTTGCTGATATAGGTTTGATTATAGATAATTTGAATTTACTGTAAACCAATGAAAAATAACTTTTTCTAGCTTTTTTTTATAATTGCTCCATTTGAAAAGTTTGGGCTTGAATCCGATTGAATAATGATTTATTTTTATTTTATTTGTTGTTTTCTTCAATTGACAAAGATTTGTAATGATGTATTCAATAGAAATTTAGTTTAGTTATTTTTTTTATCATTATCATCTGCATTTTCATGGTAGTTAGGCTTAGCACTCCATAGGAAATGCATTAGAACTGCTGTTTTTGGTATTTGATCTGATTCCCAGTCAAAGTTTTGCAGGTGTTTGATGTATGTCATCCCTCTCCTCAGTTGGATCTTGTTACATCATATCATTCATTCCCCTCTGTCACATGACATCAGAAAATAAATCTCAATAAATGAAATTATAGTATCTTTCTTATTTTTCCAGCTTTGTTTTACTTAAGATAAACAAACATTTTCAATTTATTCATAAAACTGCTTCAGGTTTAGCATTAGCATTCAAAAAATACATTGTTCTGAAATATATCTTATGAAATTGTTATCTTAAATAAACCCAAGCTGGAAAAGTATGAAAGGTGTGGTTTTAATGTTAGTTGTTCCAACATTAGTACTTTGAATTAGAGTTCTTATAAAGATACAGTGTTGAAACTTGTTTTATTTGAAAGCTGAAGGCTATATCTAACTAGTAACATAGTAAATATATAGAATTTTTATTGAATAATTTTTTAAAAGCCTTTTTTTCAGAAATTATGCATTTAAAACTCATTTTTAAATTCCCTGTGTTAGCTTTAAGCACTTATAGCACAGAATGTGGTAATAATATAAAAGAATTAACATTAAATTATTTAACAACAACAACACTGACAAAAAACGGACTAAATGGAAGAAAATTTTCTTGTGAAAAAATTTAAAAAAATTGAAAAAGCTAAAATACTTTATTTTAAATTTCATCTGCAGACAGAGCAAGGAATTATATTCCTAAACTGAACATGTACAGTACAGCCATATAAATCTGAACAGATGCATTTAAAACAAAGGTAAATAAATGCCTGTAAGATAAATGGGCATTGCACTGACAGGGATTAAGGTCATTTCTATATTTTGTATGGAAGTAATTCCAAAAGTGTTAAAACATCGTTATACAAAAAATCAAAAATTGTAATAAAAATATTTAAAAATTACATGAAGTAGAAAAATGAATTCATCAAAATAACTGCTCTGGCAGTTTTAGTGTTAAAGTTTATCCATCATAAAGAAAGTATTTTTTGAAGGTACAATAAATTAAAAAAATTGAAATGACTTTTTAATACATTATGCAAAATATGCTATAAAGAAATGATAAATATCTATAACCTATAAAGGAATGATAAATATCTATAACCTATAAAGGAATGATAAATATCTGCAACATCTTTTATTACTAATGGGGTGAGATAAAAATAAAATCTGGATTGAGCTTAAAGCATAATAACTTTTGAACTCAAAAAGATGACTTTAAAATCTTCATGCCAAAAATTACACCATTTCACATGCTCAGTTACAGAATGTGAAGTTTTTGAACATTTGTTAGTCAATTCAAAAAAAAATGGTTTGAAAAGAGGATATAACTTGGATTTTTCTTGCTTTTCCAGCTTGGGTTTATTTAAGATAAGCAAACAAACATTTTAACAAACGTACAAATTATGAAAATATAGTGAACCGCTCAAAAAAATTGGTGGAGGAGCATTTTTTAGCTGAAGGCCATGGCAAATCAACTGTATATAATATTTTGAACAATAAAATATCTGGAAAATGGAAAAGAAGGCCAGGAAGTGGGACGCCTTTTGTTATGAATGCTAAAAATCAGAGAGCATTGCAACAAGTGCTAGAGAACAAAGATGCAGTTAGCCAGGTGGAGGCAGCTAGAAGGTTCTATTGTCATGGAACATACATAGAAAAGACACTTAAGAAGATGAGCTTAAAGAAAAGGAAGAAGAGGTCAGGCAATTTTTTCAGCAGTGTACTGTGGGACCAGAGTACACTGCTGAAAAAATTGCCAAAATCTGAACACAGTGTAAATGGCTTATAAGAAATTTTAGATGACAAAAGTACTTTTCCCTCTCTATGCCAGGAAATGGAATTTACTATGTGAGCAATGAAAATTATGCAAATGGAAAAACAAAATTAAAATTTTTGTTTTTCCATTATTCTACTCCCCAATCTGCACATGCACGTGAAGAGTGGAAACACCAACTATAATAGATATATTTTGTTTTTGTTTGGATATGAATTCTTTACTCTACTGATATTACTTTTGCTGCATACAATGGAAAAATCGGTTCATAATAAGCAATTTTGATGTGCTAAGCATGAAGCATTAGAGGTTTTTACAATCTACAATACATTATAGAAAAGCTTCAGTCCACAAAGTGAATTTAAGGAATGAATTGATTGCATTAAAACAAATTTTTCTAAAGCAAATACAGTAATCCTTCCATTGATGCGAATAATTGGTTTCATAAAAACAATATGTAAATGAAAACCACATAAATAATACTATGAAAAGTTTTTTAAAATAGAAATCTGTTCAATATTCTCAAATACAGTGTTTTACTCTTACTCAGCTTTAAAAAAGTATATTTTTAAAAAATCTTTAGTTAAAAAGCTTTAACTAAAGATTTTTTAAAAACATACATCTATAAGGTGTGACAATTTAATTCCCAGAATGCACCTTTAAAAAATATACATGCAGAACTGTACATTAGTTGCTACTGTCACTTTTAAAGTACTCTCCTTGTACATATATACATTGTCTTAAATGGTGTTTCCATTTCTGGAAGCAGGCTGGAACTCATTTTCCAGAATACTGTTGAGCAGATGTCTCACATTCAGTTAGATATCAGTTATATTATAAAATCTGTGTCTTTTGAGTCTAGCCTTTAATTTTGGAAATAGCCATAAATTACAGGGAGCTAATACAGGTGAATAGGCAGGATGATCTAATTGGATAATTGCCTTTTTGTCCAGATAACGTCTCACAGTGATTGCATTGTTTTTTGACGCATTGATGTGATGAATGATCGACTTGCCAGGTCACAGTTCGGGTCTTTTTTTAAACAGAATTTCTTCATCTCTGCAGCACTTTTAAATAGCATTGTTGGTTGACTGTTTGTCCCTGTTCAATAAATTCTTAGTGGACTATTCTCTTGTGATCAAAGAAATACACCAGCATGGTCTTAAACTGTGAGCGTGTGCAGTGGTGATATTCGAAATATTTAACAAAGGGTTCGCTAACAGAAAATTTTTCTTTAACAATTTCTTTTCGCTCAAATGGTGCATTAGCAACATTAGCGCAAAAACTGACCTTAAGATACCCATATAAATAAAAAAAAGATATATATTACACGCAATGATAAAACTGAAATAACTATGCAGTAAGTCACGAACACCGACAAACAAAATGGAAGTTTTGGTTAGAAATAAATACAATACTTTTTCTTGCGATATATCTAATAATAGACAGATGTCATCATCTCTCAAAATACAATATTTGTTTTATTTCACTGTCGATAGCCCGACACGTGTTCTTCAGCCATCTTGTATTTTCTCGCGCACGTGGGATTATGGGATCTCTCTTATGATTGGATCTAGTTTCAAGAACTCTCTTGAGTCGATCGCGATTGAACCTCGTTTCAGTTGAGATTGAAACGGTCGACTAAGGCGAATGGAGTATAAGGCTCTAGTTTAGTAGTGTTACAAAGTATAATACATATATCAAAAAACACACCACCTTAATTTGTTTTTTGATTTACATACTGTTGAGTGAGTGTTCCTCAATCATAATACGTATATTTTAATATATTGTTTAAAAGAAACAAAACCACTGAGAAATGTTACATGTGTTTAACAAGGTTCAGAAAACTTTGAAAATGTTAACAATGGGTTCGGCCGAACCTGTGCGAACCCGCTGAATATCACCACTGAGCGTGTGTCACATGCATGCGTTTTTAGGTGTGGTGAGCTCTGGGATTTCCATTCCATTTTCTGATATTTAGTTTCTAGCTCTTAATGTAATGTTTCAGTAGCACATTTGTTGATTTTTACAGAAAATTTAATATTGGTATGTTGTTCTAAATTTCAGTCCCCCATTTTTATGCCAAAGAGTACAAGCAGATAACTACTGTATTACCTTTCCAATAGCTAATTAGCAACTAGCTCTATCGCTTGAAATTTATGCATGTATTAGTCATGAATGTCGCAAATACAAGTGCACATGCCATTTTGATATAATTAAGTCACATGCAATGTTGCACAGCCATTCTGGGAATTAAATTGTTACACCTTATAACAAAAATAGAGGTTATTGATAACAAAAGCCCACTTTTTGATATAACTATCATTTACTTCTCTGTAAAGTTGTTTATTTAAAATTTAAAACTTTTTTAATCATGTTAAGGTGAATTTGCATAGGTGGAGAACATGTAAACAGAGGGATTACTGCATTTAAATTGAGATTAAATAGTTCAAAGTTAAATTTCACACAAATGTTATATTATGTAATGATATTGTACTTATGAAAAATATAGTTATAAATGCTAAATGCTAAATAGTTGTTATAATTGTAAGATTTAATACATTTTTATAAAACACTATATTTCAGGGTTGTCATGTTCTGCAAGGCCAAGAATCTGAGAAAGGACGTAAGGTGACTTTTCTGGATCATGAAGGTATATAAATTTATGAATATAGAATTAAGATGTAAGATTTACAAGAATTTATCACTAGATGATTTATTTTTGGTAATGTAATAAAATATACCCACTATATGTGATTGATAATCAATATATATTATAAATGTAAGTGTACAATGTGCATGCCGCTAAAACTCAAAAATGAGTCCCAGTATGATCAAGGGAGTTATATGGTGTGGTAGCCCTCTATCCCACATCCATGAAGAAGGTTCCCGTTTTTACCTGAAGGGCATGCTGTTGAAGATATAAGGGCTGGAAGTTTCGCCTTTTAGAAATTTCTAGAACAGTCTAGAGTATTTGAGAGCATTCCACAACATTCCAGAATGTTTCGGAGTGTTCTGGAACATTTGGAAACATCTGAAAACATCCCAGATCATTGTGGAACATTTCAGAACACTCTCGAATGTTCTGGAATGTTCTGGAACATTGTAGATCATTCGAAGCCTTTTTTGTATGGGTGGGACTACCCATTGGTGGGGTATATAAAGCAAGATCTGTCGTGGGTTCAAACATCAGTTTCTTATCAATAACGAAGGGAAGAACCGAAAAAGAAGTGAAAATTCCAAAGTAGTGCAGTGAGTGAATAAAAACAAACAGTGAAGTGTGAGTAGTCAAAGTGATACAGTGACTGAATATAAATCAAAAATAAAGTGTGAAAACCGTGTAAAGTGTACTTAGTGTATTTGTTAATAAAAAGCTGATTTGATTTATATTTTATACAAATGCCCAAACTTAAAAGAGGAGGAGCTCTTGCCAGATCTAAATTTTTTTTTGAATATTAATGTTGATATCGTCGACAATATTATTTTTATTTGCCAAAATTGCCCTTTGAAATAGCCACTCCGAATAATAAAAAGAAGCACAGAGCCCAAACGATTAGAAGTTGAAGATTGAAATTTGGTACACAGTTACAGTGTGTCATGAGAACGTACACTAAGAAGGGATTTTTCGAAATTTCCCCCGTGGAAGAGAAGGACAGGATTAAGGCTTCCCATGAACAACTCGGCTTTTATTATACTATTTTAGAAGTGGTTTTTTGCGTTTTTGATTATGTTTTAATAGGGTACGTCACGAGAATGTACACTAAGAAGGGATTTTTGGAAATTCCCTGCTGGGAGAGGTTGTTAACACTTTTCGTGGGGGAAGTGTTAACATTTCATTAAGAATGGTAGTCCAACTACCATACAATCTCATATCAACTCCCTGAGCGAAGCCAGGTACCCCAGCTAGTATTTCATAACATTTAATACATAAACTAAAAATTATGTATGATACAGTTTAATACAGTAATTAGATTGAAATTTTTATTAATTTTTTTCTAATTGAAATAAATTTGGGATACAAAAAATCATTAGTTTTCATTCAGATGTGTAGGAAAATGTTAATCATCTTAAAGTGGTCATATAGACTATACTATGCTTTAAAAGAAATGCTTACTGATTTTAGTAATTTGGATCGAAAGATCTGAAATTTACCCAGTAAATAATAATACAATTATTATTAGTTCTCATCTTTTTTATACTATATATATTATTTTGTTAAAATATGATTGATTTAGTCCATTTCAAAATTTTATGTAAAAGGATTGTATAAAATTTCTACTTAAAACCCCAATTGCTTTTAACTATGCATATTGATGGAGTTTACATTTTTTTTCTTCCATTCACTTGTACTAACAGATGAAATGCAGTTCTTATAATGTTTTGTAATCCATCTAAATAAGAATCGAAATTTATTTTAAAAATTTTATAATTAACAATTAAAATTTTTATATAGGAGAAAAATTAGATGGTGAAGGTAAATTGGGACGCCAGTTAGTGCCTGGACTATTGTTAATGCCTGATACTACAGGTTTAACAACTGATCAGAGTGGCGTGCAGGGATTCACATCTGTGGCTGGAACAGGTATGTAATAATACTATATAAATAATAATCTTTATTAGGGATGAACTGACTATATCAATTTTTAAATTTGAATAGTAACTGGTAATATTGTATTATTTGCCAATATTATCAATTTTTAAATTATATATACATAAATTAAATATTTATTAGAAAATAAATGATAATTTATATTATTATGTTATGTTGTTATGAAATTTATGAACATAATATGAAATAATTAAAATACTTTAATTTTGAAATTAGAATAGAGTCCAAAAAATCAAGTATTTTTGGATTTTTCTAGGTGGTTTTTTATATAAACTAATTTAGAATATAGGGGAGGTAGCGGTATCATTATTTTGTAAATACCATAGACTTTGGATTATCTGACTTACTGTGGCAGATGGCAGAGCCTGTTAAGGAGAAAAATTTGGATTGAAGATAAGGCATTTCCTATACAGTTGAGCTTGTCAGTGCATCCTGTATGTGGTTTATTTTTTAGCTATAGTTTTTACAGTACATGTGATAATGTTTTAATACAAAATTTTCACAAAAAGTAAACCTGTAAGACACTGACAATGATGCATTCATTACCTGCAGAATAACTATGTTTCCTGAAAATGTTTGCAATAGCATTTTTATTACAGTACAATACTATTATTTAATATTGTATTGTAATAAAAAGTATAAAATACAAAATAATTATATTTTATAATTATTTTGNTTTTTTGAAGGGGGGGAAATGGTCTTCACAATTTGAAATCGATCGAACACGCTGTGCTCGAATGCTCGTGTAAATGCGCGCCATCATTCATAGGATAAATGTACTATGCCAAAACCCTATGCGGGAGTGTATTAAAAAACTTTCCAAAGTTTTATGGCAATCGTACTATGCCACAAACCTTCGCCGGAGTATATTAAACAACTTCCCAAAGTTTCACGGCAATCGGATAAACGGTGTGGTAATGCACGAAGGACATAAGACAGACACACAGACAGACATACATTCATTTTTATATATATAGATAATATGCACAAAATAAAAATGAAAATAATAATAGTCACATATATTCACAATTTATAATTACAGTGATCAGCAGACATATACACCTATTCATTTGAGAATCGTCGCACATTTGAGATCTGACCCTGCCTAACCTTCTTTTTAAACGCTCTTCCCTTTCTCTTTCCTCTATCGCTCTAGTCCATGTATGCATACATCATAATACTTTTCCATCATAGATTTCCAATTTTACAATTACATGACTCACAGCCTGGTGATAATGGAGAAAAGAGACAGATAGGACGTAGGTATAAGTCACAGTTATGATTTCACAGATTTGAAACAGCTTGGTAGCCCGAACAGCCCCAGGCTTTTGCCCATGCATGCTAAGTGTCTTTCATTACAAACATTTAGCATTCTGAAGTCTATGACAACAATTGTTTGACATTGACGGCCGCGAATTTCGTGCCAATGAGCTGCCTCGACTTGTTCGATTATGTTATCAACTCAATTTCATATTTATTTTCACATTTTCACTTCGCGGTCCTTCTCTCTTCTTTTTCCATTATTTACATGTGTAGGTCATTTGATTGTTATCCACATTTGATATCATCACTTATCACATACTGCCATGATGCTCATGTATGTCCACTACAACTGTGAAGAATTAACGCGATTGGCGAAGCATAGTGACAGCGGGCCAATAGAGAGCTGGGTCCTTACCATAATGCGGTTTGCACGCCAATTTTCGTAAGTGCGTTAATCAATCCGAATAGTTTGGCCGAATATTCGGTATTCAGCCTCAGGCTGAATATACTATTCGTTTGAACACTAAATTAAATCCATGTTTAGAATTTTTTATGATTTGTTTAATGTTATTAAAATGTACAGTACATACCTACTATTATGAATTAAAAATTTTCTTTTAATCAATACATGATTAATTACATTTTTATATTAATTATAAGATTTGTTTTGCTATGTTTTATTATCTAATATAATTTTTTTTAATTTGTATTTGTTTAGATACAAGTATTTTGAATGCTATTCAATGTCATTAATATTTTATTTATTCTTTTCATGATTTTCAGTGTTCCTTGGGAGAACTATCTACAAATGGTACTGGATCCAATAAAAAGACTGCAAAACGAAATGCTGCTGAATCCATGTTACAGTTAATGGGTTACTCTCGACCTCAACCTGGCAAACCAGCAATTAAGTCATCAGGTCTAGATGTAAGAATAATATGTCAGAATTTAGATCTTTTAAAATTTGAATAAATTTAAAATAAAGCTTAACATTTGAATGCCTGGACTGAGTCAGACCCCAATAATGCTCTCTAGCAGTCAATTGACCTCTACCATTTTTTTTCATATTTTTCGCTATTTTTTCATCATAAAATGTTCATATTGTGTTTTTCCATTTATTTTGTTTCATTCTAGTTAGGTTTTTATGTTTTTTAAATAGGAATATATCTATACAATAAAAAAATTTTTAAGAAAAATGTTTTTATTTTTACATATTCTCCTGACATATTTTTCAGATCTTTTTTGTATTTAGGCATATGCCACCTACAAAGTTTTTTGCATGCAAAGCAAGTTACTTTTCTATTGTTTTTCTAGCAAAGTTCAATTTGGTAAGTATTTTCAGATGCAGCTTTAAATGTAGCTGCATCACTACCATCTGTCGGGAATGATGACATTACCAGACATTGAAGTTGCAGATTTCTGTACAACACAACTAACTCTTCAACAATTTTCATCATGAAAGACTGTCAAGGAATCTTGGATCCACTTATCAACTTGTACAATGTGTGTGAGTTGATCATATGCAGATCTAGAATGTTATAGAAGACATGCACCTTGTCATGGCTCTAACACTGTACTTATGAGACATTTGATCTATAGCATCTATACCACATTTTAAGTTATTATAGAAGTTGACTGTCACTGGTGTTTTTTCTTTGCTTTCTCATTAATGAGTTTAGTTCCTGAGGCCTAATTAATTTTTACTGGGAAAAATTATGTAATGTATTGATTTTTTATATTAAATAATTATTTCCACTTAAAAGTGAATCTGACAGCCAAAATAATTGCTGCAAAATAAATACCCCGAAAAAATGTGTTTTTACAGAAAAACTATATGAAAAATTTAAAAGCATTCTTTTTAAATTATTTTATTTGAAAAATATAGCTGCACTGATTGTTGTTCTTTCATTTAACAAGGCGTGAAATTTCACACGTGCAGTCTATGTTGTTTACAAACCGGTTGACCTTGAGAACATTTGGTCAGNCTGCTATCAGGCATCATTGGTAAAATCAGTATTATCTTTATCCTGGAAAACAATGATTTCTAGTCAGAAATAGCTTTCCCTAAAATTATTAAAAATCAAAATCTTAGAATGATATTATCAGAAACATTGAAAATGTGTCCATCTGAAAATCAAAAGTAGTCAATTGACCATCTCCAGACATTCTAGTGTTAAAATAAATAAATTGTATGGATGAAACTTTCATCAAAAGCCAGTTTTATTGGTTAAAATTAAAATTAGAAATTGCAACAGTGAATTTTTTATGTTATTTAAATTTTATACTTAGAAAATTGAAATTGCATATAAAAATCTAAATTTTTATATGCAATTTCAAGTCTTGAGAATGTCTTGCTTATTATATTAGTTATAAATATATTTTTTATTAAATTTTTAGCTATTTATCATATACATTTTTTCCCCATAAATGAGAATGTTACAGTTGTTTAATTAAAATGTATTTATAAAGTAAATTTAAATAAATATATTTAATTTTGTAATTATTCACATTTTAATAAATCAAATTTACTAGATACAAAATATTTATATAAATAGTTTAACACTAAAACCACTGGTTAGTGTTATATATGTAAACAATTAGTATTATGTTATATACTACCTAAAAGTGTCATTATCAGTGATTTTGACCTATTTTCATAAATATTCCATAAAAATAATGCAACATTTTTTCTTGAAAATAATATGGTTTACATTAACTGTAACTAAAATATAGTAACATAACTTAAAAAGTGTATACATTTAAAATAAAATTTCTTGTATGTGTGTGTATATTTTTCTGCCATTTTATATTTGTGATGTATTATTTGTGTGCATTGACTATCTTGGATCTGTTTTTAGTATTTGTTACAGTTTTATCCAAGGTTTATTTATTAAGCTTATATATGCTTATCTAAGGTCACTGTATGTAACATTACAGTAAGTACAGTAATTCTAGATTGCTGTTTAAATGCCAGCTGCAATGAATTGCACCTGGTTCAGTATGATCAAATAATTTTCTTGGGATTGGTGAAATTTTTTCACAGACTGGTGGTTGAAAAACTCTGCCTTAAGTAATTTTCAAAATTTAGTTTCTTTCAATTTTTAACGTTTTGAAAAATATTAGCTGGTGCTTTTCCTACAAAAAACTGTGAATTTCACTTTTTAAAAAGAACTTTAGCTGCTGCTGGTCAAACTAATCAGTTTGCAGTTTTAGGCATAATGCCAGCCAATGTTTCACATTATCAAAAAATAGAATAAAAATTAAATTTTTCTTAACATTTTTGGTACTGACATTTTGTAGGTGTCATGTTTCTGTGGATTGTCCTTTGTTGATTTTTTGTAAAATCATGCATATTTGAAATTGAATAATGTTATGGTTTTTGTTATTAATGTGTGTTAAAGATTTTTTCTTTCATTTAAGTAGGTATATAATAATTAAAGATTTGCTGATATAGGTTTGATTATAGATAATTTGAATTTACTGTAAACCAATGAAAAATAACTTTTTCTAGCTTTTTTTTATAATTGCTCCATTTGAAAAGTTTGGGCTTGAATCCGATTGAATAATGATTTATTTTTATTTTATTTGTTGTTTTCTTCAATTGACAAAGATTTGTAATGATGTATTCAATAGAAATTTAGTTTAGTTATTTTTTTTATCATTATCATCTGCATTTTCATGGTAGTTAGGCTTAGCACTCCATAGGAAATGCATTAGAACTGCTGTTTTTGGTATTTGATCTGATTCCCAGTCAAAGTTTTGCAGGTGTTTGATGTATGTCATCCCTCTCCTCAGTTGGATCTTGTTACATCATATCATTCATTCCCCTCTGTCACATGACATCAGAAAATAAATCTCAATAAATGAAATTATAGTATCTTTCTTATTTTTCCAGCTTTGTTTTACTTAAGATAAACAAACATTTTCAATTTATTCATAAAACTGCTTCAGGTTTAGCATTAGCATTCAAAAAATACATTGTTCTGAAATATATCTTATGAAATTGTTATCTTAAATAAACCCAAGCTGGAAAAGTATGAAAGGTGTGGTTTTAATGTTAGTTGTTCCAACATTAGTACTTTGAATTAGAGTTCTTATAAAGATACAGTGTTGAAACTTGTTTTATTTGAAAGCTGAAGGCTATATCTAACTAGTAACATAGTAAATATATAGAATTTTTATTGAATAATTTTTTAAAAGCCTTTTTTTCAGAAATTATGCATTTAAAACTCATTTTTAAATTCCCTGTGTTAGCTTTAAGCACTTATAGCACAGAATGTGGTAATAATATAAAAGAATTAACATTAAATTATTTAACAACAACAACACTGACAAAAAACGGACTAAATGGAAGAAAATTTTCTTGTGAAAAAATTTAAAAAAATTGAAAAAGCTAAAATACTTTATTTTAAATTTCATCTGCAGACAGAGCAAGGAATTATATTCCTAAACTGAATATGTACAGTACAGCCATATAAATCTGAACAGATGCATTTAAAACAAAGGTAAATAAATGCCTGTAAGATAAATGGGCATTGCACTGACAGGGATTAAGGTCATTTCTATATTTTGTATGGAAGTAATTCCAAAAGTGTTAAAACATCGTTATACAAAAAATCAAAAATTGTAATAAAAATATTTAAAAATTACATGAAGTAGAAAAATGAATTCATCAAAATAACTGCTCTGGCAGTTTTAGTGTTAAAGTTTATCCATCATAAAGAAAGTATTTTTTGAAGGTACAATAAATTAAAAAAATTGAAATGACTTTTTAATACATTATGCAAAATATGCTATAAAGAAATGATAAATATCTATAACCTATAAAGGAATGATAAATATCTATAACCTATAAAGGAATGATAAATATCTGCAACATCTTTTATTACTAATGGGGTGAGATAAAAATAAAATCTGGATTGAGCTTAAAGCATAATAACTTTTGAACTCAAAAAGATGACTTTAAAATCTTCATGCCAAAAATTACACCATTTCACATGCTCAGTTACAGAATGTGAAGTTTTTGAACATTTGTTAGTCAATTCAAAAAAAAATGGTTTGAAAAGAGGATATAACTTGGATTTTTCTTGCTTTTCCAGCTTGGGTTTATTTAAGATAAGCAAACAAACATTTTAACAAACGTACAAATTATGAAAATATAGTGAACCGCTCAAAAAAATTGGTGGAGGAGCATTTTTTAGCTGAAGGCCATGGCAAATCAACTGTATATAATATTTTGAACAATAAAATATCTGGAAAATGGAAAAGAAGGCCAGGAAGTGGGACGCCTTTTGTTATGAATGCTAAAAATCAGAGAGCATTGCAACAAGTGCTAGAGAACAAAGATGCAGTTAGCCAGGTGGAGGCAGCTAGAAGGTTCTATTGTCATGGAACATACATAGAAAAGACACTTAAGAAGATGAGCTTAAAGAAAAGGAAGAAGAGGTCAGGCAATTTTTTCAGCAGTGTACTGTGGGACCAGAGTACACTGCTGAAAAAATTGCCAAAATCTGAACACAGTGTAAATGGCTTATAAGAAATTTTAGATGACAAAAGTACTTTTCCCTCTCTATGCCAGGAAATGGAATTTACTATGTGAGCAATGAAAATTATGCAAATGGAAAAACAAAATTAAAATTTTTGTTTTTCCATTATTCTACTCCCCAATCTGCACATGCACGTGAAGAGTGGAAACACCAACTATAATAGATATATTTTGTTTTTGTTTGGATATGAATTCTTTACTCTACTGATATTACTTTTGCTGCATACAATGGAAAAATCGGTTCATAATAAGCAATTTTGATGTGCTAAGCATGAAGCATTAGAGGTTTTTACAATCTACAATACATTATAGAAAAGCTTCAGTCCACAAAGTGAATTTAAGGAATGAATTGATTGCATTAAAACAAATTTTTCTAAAGCAAATACAGTAATCCTTCCATTGATGCGAATAATTGGTTTCATAAAAACAATATGTAAATGAAAACCACATAAATAATACTATGAAAAGTTTTTTAAAATAGAAATCTGTTCAATATTCTCAAATACAGTGTTTTACTCTTACTCAGCTTTAAAAAAGTATATTTTTAAAAAATCTTTAGTTAAAAAGCTTTAACTAAAGATTTTTTAAAAACATACATCTATAAGGTGTGACAATTTAATTCCCAGAATGCACCTTTAAAAAATATACATGCAGAACTGTACATTAGTTGCTACTGTCACTTTTAAAGTACTCTCCTTGTACATATATACATTGTCTTAAATGGTGTTTCCATTTCTGGAAGCAGGCTGGAACTCATTTTCCAGAATACTGTTGAGCAGATGTCTCACATTCAGTTAGATATCAGTTATATTATAAAATCTGTGTCTTTTGAGTCTAGCCTTTAATTTTGGAAATAGCCATAAATTACAGGGAGCTAATACAGGTGAATAGGCAGGATGATCTAATTGGATAATTGCCTTTTTGTCCAGATAACGTCTCACAGTGATTGCATTGTTTTTTGACGCATTGATGTGATGAATGATCGACTTGCCAGGTCACAGTTCGGGTCTTTTTTTAAACAGAATTTCTTCATCTCTGCAGCACTTTTAAATAGCATTGTTGGTTGACTGTTTGTCCCTGTTCAATAAATTCTTAGTGGACTATTCTCTTGTGATCAAAGAAATACACCAGCATGGTCTTAAACTGTGAGCGTGTGCAGTGGTGATATTCGAAATATTTAACAAAGGGTTCGCTAACAGAAAATTTTTCTTTAACAATTTCTTTTCGCTCAAATGGTGCATTAGCAACATTAGCGCAAAAACTGACCTTAAGATACCCATATAAATAAAAAAAAGATATATATTACACGCGATGATAAAACTGAAATAACTATGCAGTAAGTCACGAACACCGACAAACAAAATGGAAGTTTTGGTTAGAAATAAATACAATACTTTTTCTTGCGATATATCTAATAATAGACAGATGTCATCATCTCTCAAAATACAATATTTGTTTTATTTCACTGTCGATAGCCCGACACGTGTTCTTCAGCCATCTTGTATTTTCTCGCGCACGTGGGATTATGGGATCTCTCTTATGATTGGATCTAGTTTCAAGAACTCTCTTGAGTCGATCGCGATTGAACCTCGTTTCAGTTGAGATTGAAACGGTCGACTAAGGCGAATGGAGTATAAGGCTCTAGTTTAGTAGTGTTACAAAGTATAATACATATATCAAAAAACACACCACCTTAATTTGTTTTTTGATTTACATACTGTTGAGTGAGTGTTCCTCAATCATAATACGTATATTTTAATATATTGTTTAAAAGAAACAAAACCACTGAGAAATGTTACATGTGTTTAACAAGGTTCAGAAAACTTTGAAAATGTTAACAATGGGTTCGGCCGAACCTGTGCGAACCCGCTGAATATCACCACTGAGCGTGTGTCACATGCATGCGTTTTTAGGTGTGGTGAGCTCTGGGATTTCCATTCCATTTTCTGATATTTAGTTTCTAGCTCTTAATGTAATGTTTCAGTAGCACATTTGTTGATTTTTACAGAAAATTTAATATTGGTATGTTGTTCTAAATTTCAGTCCCCCATTTTTATGCCAAAGAGTACAAGCAGATAACTACTGTATTACCTTTCCAATAGCTAATTAGCAACTAGCTCTATCGCTTGAAATTTATGCATGTATTAGTCATGAATGTCGCAAATACAAGTGCACATGCCATTTTGATATAATTAAGTCACATGCAATGTTGCACAGCCATTCTGGGAATTAAATTGTTACACCTTATAACAAAAATAGAGGTTATTGATAACAAAAGCCCACTTTTTGATATAACTATCATTTACTTCTCTGTAAAGTTGTTTATTTAAAATTTAAAACTTTTTTAATCATGTTAAGGTGAATTTGCATAGGTGGAGAACATGTAAACAGAGGGATTACTGCATTTAAATTGAGATTAAATAGTTCAAAGTTAAATTTCACACAAATGTTATATTATGTAATGATATTGTACTTATGAAAAATATAGTTATAAATGCTAAATGCTAAATAGTTGTTATAATTGTAAGATTTAATACATTTTTATAAAACACTATATTTCAGGGTTGTCATGTTCTGCAAGGCCAAGAATCTGAGAAAGGACGTAAGGTGACTTTTCTGGATCATGAAGGTATATAAATTTATGAATATAGAATTAAGATGTAAGATTTACAAGAATTTATCACTAGATGATTTATTTTTGGTAATGTAATAAAATATACCCACTATATGTGATTGATAATCAATATATATTATAAATGTAAGTGTACAATGTGCATGCCGCTAAAACTCAAAAATGAGTCCCAGTATGATCAAGGGAGTTATATGGTGTGGTAGCCCTCTATCCCACATCCATGAAGAAGGTTCCCGTTTTTACCTGAAGGGCATGCTGTTGAAGATATAAGGGCTGGAAGTTTCGCCTTTTAGAAATTTCTAGAACAGTCTAGAGTATTTGAGAGCATTCCACAACATTCCAGAATGTTTCGGAGTGTTCTGGAACATTTGGAAACATCTGAAAACATCCCAGATCATTGTGGAACATTTCAGAACACTCTCGAATGTTCTGGAATGTTCTGGAACATTGTAGATCATTCGAAGCCTTTTTTGTATGGGTGGGACTACCCATTGGTGGGGTATATAAAGCAAGATCTGTCGTGGGTTCAAACATCAGTTTCTTATCAATAACGAAGGGAAGAACCGAAAAAGAAGTGAAAATTCCAAAGTAGTGCAGTGAGTGAATAAAAACAAACAGTGAAGTGTGAGTAGTCAAAGTGATACAGTGACTGAATATAAATCAAAAATAAAGTGTGAAAACCGTGTAAAGTGTACTTAGTGTATTTGTTAATAAAAAGCTGATTTGATTTATATTTTATACAAATGCCCAAACTTAAAAGAGGAGGAGCTCTTGCCAGATCTAAATTTTTTTTTGAATATTAATGTTGATATCGTCGACAATATTATTTTTATTTGCCAAAATTGCCCTTTGAAATAGCCACTCCGAATAATAAAAAGAAGCACAGAGCCCAAACGATTAGAAGTTGAAGATTGAAATTTGGTACACAGTTACAGTGTGTCATGAGAACGTACACTAAGAAGGGATTTTTCGAAATTTCCCCCGTGGAAGAGAAGGACAGGATTAAGGCTTCCCATGAACAACTCGGCTTTTATTATACTATTTTAGAAGTGGTTTTTTGCGTTTTTGATTATGTTTTAATAGGGTACGTCACGAGAATGTACACTAAGAAGGGATTTTTGGAAATTCCCTGCTGGGAGAGGTTGTTAACACTTTTCGTGGGGGAAGTGTTAACATTTCATTAAGAATGGTAGTCCAACTACCATACAATCTCATATCAACTCCCTGAGCGAAGCCAGGTACCCCAGCTAGTATTTCATAACATTTAATACATAAACTAAAAATTATGTATGATACAGTTTAATACAGTAATTAGATTGAAATTTTTATTAATTTTTTTCTAATTGAAATAAATTTGGGATACAAAAAATCATTAGTTTTCATTCAGATGTGTAGGAAAATGTTAATCATCTTAAAGTGGTCATATAGACTATACTATGCTTTAAAAGAAATGCTTACTGATTTTAGTAATTTGGATCGAAAGATCTGAAATTTACCCAGTAAATAATAATACAATTATTATTAGTTCTCATCTTTTTTATACTATATATATTATTTTGTTAAAATATGATTGATTTAGTCCATTTCAAAATTTTATGTAAAAGGATTGTATAAAATTTCTACTTAAAACCCCAATTGCTTTTAACTATGCATATTGATGGAGTTTACATTTTTTTTCTTCCATTCACTTGTACTAACAGATGAAATGCAGTTCTTATAATGTTTTGTAATCCATCTAAATAAGAATCGAAATTTATTTTAAAAATTTTATAATTAACAATTAAAATTTTTATATAGGAGAAAAATTAGATGGTGAAGGTAAATTGGGACGCCAGTTAGTGCCTGGACTATTGTTAATGCCTGATACTACAGGTTTAACAACTGATCAGAGTGGCGTGCAGGGATTCACATCTGTGGCTGGAACAGGTATGTAATAATACTATATAAATAATAATCTTTATTAGGGATGAACTGACTATATCAATTTTTAAATTTGAATAGTAACTGGTAATATTGTATTATTTGCCAATATTATCAATTTTTAAATTATATATACATAAATTAAATATTTATTAGAAAATAAATGATAATTTATATTATTATGTTATGTTGTTATGAAATTTATGAACATAATATGAAATAATTAAAATACTTTAATTTTGAAATTAGAATAGAGTCCAAAAAATCAAGTATTTTTGGATTTTTCTAGGTGGTTTTTTATATAAACTAATTTAGAATATAGGGGAGGTAGCGGTATCATTATTTTGTAAATACCATAGACTTTGGATTATCTGACTTACTGTGGCAGATGGCAGAGCCTGTTAAGGAGAAAAATTTGGATTGAAGATAAGGCATTTCCTATACAGTTGAGCTTGTCAGTGCATCCTGTATATGGTTTATTTTTTAGCTATAGTTTTTACAGTACATGTGATAATGTTTTAATACAAAATTTTCACAAAAAGTAAACCTGTAAGACACTGACAATGATGCATTCATTACCTGCAGAATAACTATGTTTCCTGAAAATGTTTGCAATAGCATTTTTATTACAGTACAATACTATTATTTAATATTGTATTGTAATAAAAAGTATAAAATACAAAATAATTATATTTTATAATTATTTTGTATTTTATACTTTTTATTATAAAATACAAATTAATTATAAAATATAATTATTTTGTATATTAATCTATTCAATGTTGAAATCTTTATTTTTTGCCTGTGACGCCATGTTGAATTTTCGTCGATGTTAAGCCTAAATTTTTTTTAAAAAATAATAATCGTGTTTACTGTATCGTAAAAAATTATTTTTTACGTTTCACAAACAAAATATATATATTGAATAATATAAAAACAAAAAAAATTTTATTTAAAAGTTCGTTTTAATATAAAAATTGTGACATGAAGCGACATCTAGTATCAAAAATGTTTCAATGTAAACACAGAAATTTTCGGGATTGCCCACGCAGGTCAATGAGGTCAACATGAATATTTTCGGGATCAACATAGGACAGGTTAAAAAAACTTTGATGTGGCTAATCAGGCATATTAAATTATCTCAGAGTCTACTGTACTTTAAATTAAAATTAATCCATTAGTTTTATTTGTGAAAGTTGAATGTTTAAATCTCATTCCATATTGCTATTTTTCTATACATATTTTTGTAAAGTTTGCACTGAGCATTTTTTTCTGACACCAGTATGAGATCCAGGCTGTGCCTAATTGACTCCAGTGATAAGGTTCCCAGTGTGGAGTTTTATATGGTTTTTTTTAACCTTCTTATTTTCAAATGTGATTACACTTGGAAATTTCTGGTATCAAGTGGGTTATGCCAGAGTCAATAGATATAGTGATCCTTGTGCTGCCCTCTCAAGTACAGTACAATGCCTCAGGTTGCCGATAGCTGGCGTGAGATTTGCTAAATGGCTAGAGGTTTATCTATTTGGTTAGTAGGTAGTTTTCCGATTTTCATGCATTTTTTATACTTTTTTGTACTGTTCAAAAAATCTTATTTGTAATTACATTTTTTAATTATATATCATATATAAAGAAGGAAAAAGTGTATTTGGTTTATAAAAAGAATTAATAAGATAATTTTAAATTACAGATGAGAATGTAGATAAATTGAAGATAATTTTATTTTTGATTTAATTTATCCAGGTTTTAAATAGAGATCTGTTTAAAACTGATAAACTAATATCTCAATTACTATAGTAGAGATAACAGAGACTTATCACCCTACTACTGGTAACATAAAAATGACACTTCTAATAAATAAAAATCAAAACCTTTAAACAATCTAGCAAATCATTTTTTAATATCTTAAAAATACGCTTTCGAACGCTTTAAGCAATCATCCTCAGTTATCATTTTGAATCGAACGAAGAATTCGAAATTATGTAAAACAAAATTCAAAAAGCGGTTACATAAATATACGTTAACATTACCAAGTTTAAATAATTGCAAAAATTATACAAGTTAATTAAATTGAAATAAAAAAAAACGATAAGCTGGATTGTTTAAAGGTTTTGATTTTTATTTATAGTGTAGTTCCAGTAAGAAAGTATTTTATTTATTTAATGACACTTCTATCATCAGAATGCAATCTTCTGTCATTTTAATGTTACCAGTAGCATTTTGATAAGTCTCTGTTATCTCTACTATAGTATTTGAGATATTAGTTTCAACAATTATCAAGACAAGAAGATATTTTATAATGTTTAAAACTGTTATATTGCTACATATTGTGAATGAAAGTTTTGTACATAATGTTCTGAGTGTAACATCTATTCAATACATAGGCAATGGTAAAATAAGTAAATAAATTTGCATTTTACTGTTTTGTTTTATTACATATGTATGACAATATAATTAGGAAAACCATAGCTTATCCTCTGATACATTTAAATAGCCATAGAAATTTAATCTAGATAAAGACAAACTATTTTTTTAAATAATTTATTAACATTAACACTACATAAAGTGTGTTATACAATTTTACTTGATTCAGTATAGTGAGAAATAGTATTTGGGTATATGAAATAAGTTTTGTATTTTTGACATGAGAAATTAATTTCTTATGATACTTACATTCGCTCTACATAGTTTGGTAATTTATATAATATTCTGCACTATCAAAAGTAGAATATGAATGAAGATTTATTGATGGCCTACTACATCTGTCCTTTATTTATATAGGTTTAAAATATCACTAACATGTCTTTCTTTTAGCCTCCATGTCATTACTAATCACTATCACTGTCAATATCTAATAATACTATCTGAACTCTTGCCATCTTACATTTACCTATTTTATTTGTTAACCTCTAACTTATCGTCCTCTAATTACCTGTAAGTTATTGTGTGTCTGTAAATATCTTGAATATGTTGTCTAAATAGTTAGAATTTCCTCTTTTTCCTCTGACTGTCTATATTTAAAATTCAAGAACTAAACCTACTGACTTTTAATCCTCTTTTCTAACCCTGTTCCTAACT